GCACGGGGTTCACTGCGGAATTTGGTGGTGATGGGGAAAGTGAAATGATTCCACCAGATGCAGTGGTGGAACTCATGGACTTACAACCTTTACCGGAGCATTCAGAAGCTGTAACTAGTGATTTGGTGATGGGAGATGGTGGTAGTGCTGAGTGTGGTGGTAATAGTGAGAAAATTTTCACACCAAAAAGATTTACTTTTAATAATCCTTACAAACCCTGTAAGTTGTAGCTGTAATATTTAACCTCAGTTGTTACTAGATAATTTATAATTTTGTACAACCAACTTCAATATAAATTATTAAGAATAACTCAAAAACTATTGGTCAGACCTTGATCAAATTTATATGAGACCACATATGAAGCACCAGCTTTTAAATAAAAAAAGAATCATAGAAATCGGTTCACCCAGTAAAAAGTTATGAAGTAACACACATAAAAAAAACATACAGTCGAATTGAGTACTGGCTCCTTTTTAAAGTCCGTAGACAAAACAGACCGCCTCTCTATGGTCTAGTAGTGTGATTGCTTGTTGCAGGTTTTGCTACAACTTTGTGTATTTTTTTCTGGTTAATGAGGAAAATCTAAAGGCTTACCACTCAATTGTCTGACAAATAAGATAAATTGTGAAATAGGCTATAGTAGTTGGTTCTGGGTAATCTCTAATGTAGTTTGGATAGTAGTTGTTACTAATGTTTTTTTATGTCATCTCCTATGCCCGATCTCTGTGGTCATCAGTCATCAATTCTATCAAGCTAGGAGAGTGTAAAATATGAGAATTTAACTATGTTTTTTATTTTCACAGTAAAGAAACGCCAAAAACCCTCTGAAGAACTATTACGGGCTCAGATAAGCAAGGAATTAGCCATGGCTGCTTATTTTGAAGCCAAAACTGAAGTGGTTAAACTTGAAAAAGTTAAACTGCAGCTAGAAATAGAAAAATTAAACAAGTGACTTGTGATTACTATAGTACTAATGTTAAGATTTTGTAAATAGTGATAATAAGGTGTATTTTTTATAAATTATGTAATGTTTTTGTTAAGTTCATTCTAAAATAAAATATATTTTATACATTGATTTTTATTTGACATTTATTAAATAAAATATATATTGAAATAAAGCACATTTATTCTAGTATAATTTAACATTATTTACACATTAAAATTCTTATATAATTAAACATAATTTAAACACTAAAATAATTATTAATTAGCTGTTGTCTGACACTGTGATTTTGTTGACCTATCCCTTCAGCATAGGTAATGTCACCTGATTCTTGCGGCATTGCAACTTCTGGATCTACATCTCTAATATTATTTAATCTGCAGATGTTGTGTAATACAGAAGTGGCAATAATAATGGCCTGTGTTGTCTGCATAGCTACACGGATTTTTAAAGAGAGTATTGGAAAGCGCCTTTTCCACACACCAAAACATCTGAAAAGTTACAAAGTATTTTATATTATATTCATGAAATTTAAAAAAAAATATTAATAAAATAATATTTACCTTTCAATAGTATTTCTAGTCTTTATATGTGCTTCATTGTAATGATTCTCTGCAACAGATGTGGGGTTGAGCAGTGGTGTCAAAAGATATGAAGTACAGGGATATGCACTGTCTCCAATAAGCCATCTATTGCCAAACAATCCCTCTTCACATTGCACTGAAAATAAATAACAAAGAAATATTAATCATGTTTATGTGATGACCTATTATTATAATCTTCTAGATAACTAAGTACCTACTTACTTTTTAGCCTAGAGTTGTTAAATATAGTAGCATCATGAGCAGACCCAGGCCAACGGGCAACAACATTCATAAATAACAAGTCTGCGTTACAGACTCCTTGGACATTCATTGAAAATATGCCTTTTCTATTTCTGTATTCTTCTCCTATATTTGAATCTGCAAAAATTATGACTGTTATTAGGTATAATCTATATAAATAAATGAATCTATACTTAATAATATTATAATAAAGAATTGTATGCATGTTTGTAGAAGTTGATCCAATTCTGGCCAAACTTGGATTAAGTTCTACGTTTGAGTTTCAGGTCACTAGATGGCCTACGAAAAAGATTCTACCTAGATCTACTTTATATAAATATTTATTTATTTGGTACTACTAACCAGGTGACTGTATGGGAACATGCGTGCAGTCAATTGCGCCAAGAATTCTTGGAAATCCTGCGATTTCATGAAAGGCATTCTGGGTATTGCTTAATGTCTTCACATATTGAGGGTATAAGCCAGCTATAGCCCGAGATACATGATGCACAATTCGGCTGGCTGAAGCTTTCGATACACCAATAAAGTCCGCTACTGATAAAAGCATTGTTCCCAGTGCATAAAATCTCAAGGTCAGCAACAACTGATGTAACGGCGATATTCCATTATTCCTAAAATGTTAAATATAAGTAAAAAAAATCACAATAACTGTCATTCATATTATGTTGGGTGGCATATTTCGACGATACATATAATGTAACCAAATTTTGTTCACAAGTTTCTTTACTCACCTTGAAGAAATTACTTTTAAGGATGGTGTTATTTTCAATAATAACTCATCCACGGACGTTTTATTTAATCTAAATCTATATGTAAATTCAGAGTCAGAAAATTCACTTCTGTAATTTATTCGATTATAAAGTCGGCAATTTTCAGTATCTACAATACCTTCTGAATCAAAAACACCTATCTCATACATTTCATTATCACTTTCATCACTGAACAAATCCATTTTTTAGATATTAAATAGGTTTTATTTATTTAAAATCACGACAAATATTTGCTAACTCTCAAAATTGGGCGATAGACAAAACTCTAACATCTGGTAATTTGAACTATCGCCAGTTAACTGCCAATACGTTATTGAAACAGTCAGATGTTTTTTTCTATGAACCCACTTAACTCAGGTAGTCGGTAAGTCCTCCGAAGGATAGATCAATGTGATGGTTAAACATTTCTATCATAGAATTATTACGCATAGAAGCGCAGTCCAGTACAAAACACGAGCCTTAAAATGATGCAAGGTCATAATGTTAGTGGGCGCGGGTCGAATGTGCCTACGCTCGTCACACGCACACATACACGCCTTTCAGTGATACCAGTTTCTGGCGTTTGCAATCAAATTGTGCAAATCACTATTTTTTGATTAATTTAAAAAAATCGATATAATAAAGATTACGTATTACGTACGAAGATGTATTTTATGAGAATATAAAATGGAATAAAATAAAAACGATAATGATGGTACTAATATAACTTGATTATACATATATTAATGGTAAAAAATGCAGACGTAATAAAATTTAAGAATATTGTTATACACAATTAATTTTCGCGAATAAAATAAGCACATCGTGTAATGTTTAATTTTAAACGACTTCAAAAAGGGAGGAGGTTATTAATTTGGTGTATTTTTTAATGTTTTTACCTCAGAATTCTACAATTTCTAAACCGATTTAGATTTTTTTATTTGAAAGGATATAACACAGATTGATCCAATAGACACGATGAAATTTTAATGGTTGTTTTCCCGAAGTAAAATGATTTTGCTTTAGTAGTACAATAGATTAATTAAAATAAAATTATTAGGATATAAAAATGGCAGAATTACAATCGAGAAAAACAAAACTAGAATGCGATCTCAAACCAATAGCAATATCTCGCAAGTAGGTCGGGTGTGCAGGCTAGCTTATACCGAATTACTATAACAAAGTCTGAAAAAAAATTCGCTGGACGTAATGTAGTGTTACGTCTATCGCACGTGCTACCGCGCGCTTCCTACACAGTGAAGGGCCACTAATAAATGTTCATAACATGAACTCTCAAGCGTAGTGATACGACATAAACTAGTTTGGACGCCCGAATAGCTTGTGAGGTATTACTATTGTAAATCTGCCCTTTTTTAATTGTAATATTATTTAATTTAATAAATTGACTCTACTATCGAGACAGTCTAATTTGGCTGCGGGACAACAACCACTAAAATTTCAGCATGTATATACGAATTGTACAAGCTTAGAAATCAGTGTACATACATATTGATAACCTTTCTTTTTGGGAGTAGGTTAAACTAGGCTATGTTTGGGTCTAACGTAACATCTGGTCAATGTTTGGGTGTAAAGTGACATCTGGTTAGTAAAAGCGTTCTTATTAATAATCTCATAAAAAAGTTTTATTCTATACTCTAAAACGTAACCTTAGTCAATAAAAAAGCAATTAAATTAAAAAAGTTGCGTTAAAATGGCGTCGACGAATCGCGATTAGCTGATCACTCCGTATTAGTTTTAAATAGGTACCCATTGTTAATATAATGTTAACACTTAGAGAAGTAGGTATCTATATATAAACGTTTGAGTTTTAGACAGAGCGTTGCGATTTAACGTTTTAAACACAAATAGAAAATAAATATTTTTAAAAGAAAATTGTGATTTTTACCCCACAACTAGCAACATTTGTATTATGAGAGCTTAGGTAAGTATTTTTTTAGTTTTACGTACTTATAATGAATTAAATGTATAAACTTATATGTGAAATGTAATACCATAACTTCTTTTATGTTTATCATCACCGTTGTGACAATATTTTACGACACAAACGGTAATTTTTACAATTTTTCGCGAGCTCTTCTCCGTAAGGCGTGACGTTGCGCACTGACGCGTCGCTGAGTCAACTAACGCGGTTTCGCGTTAGTTTTACTTGCTTCACTTTCGTTGCGCGTACTAGTATTCTATGCGTAATAATTCTATGATTTCTATCTATCTTTGATTATTGAAACGGAAAAATGTAACTATAGATACCAATGGTAGCCATTTTAACTTCCAGTAAGAGATAGATAAGTTATTGAGACCGGCCGTAAGAAGAGTACATGAATAATTGACGCAGAAATATCCGAAAACTACCTTTCTTCTGGGGCACTCGTACACTAACTTGTAATACATTATTCTTGAAAAAAAAATTGAATGTTCATTGTTCATTACATGATAATGCATTACCTTCTTTGATATGCATTTGAGACGAACTCGTTGGACCTGTATACACACCATTTACGGGATTCACGGTGTTCTGTAAAGAGAAAACACTCTTAATATCTTTAAAAAAAAATTCATACACATTGATCTACTATCACAAGTCAAGTTAAGTCAATGTGCGTACCTCTCGCTTCCCTTCATCGGACCGTAAATGTAAACAACTGGACCTCTCCATTTTAGAGTGGATATGAATTAATTGGCGCGCTTAGCAGGCGAAGCAATAAAATCTTTTGGAATATCCCATAGTTTAAAAGATAATCGCCGCAACCAGTAGGATATATCGTTTTTTTTTTAAATAATGTCATGGTGTGAATTACCAGCTAACACAGTACACTGACGCCGGCAAGCAACCTTCAGAGGTAATTTATCTATCCTATCAAAAGTCCACTGCTGAACATAGGCTTCCACCATAGATTGCTTCATTAGGGGATATTTATCATATTGCCACGCTTGGAAGGCAGGTCGACAAGCAGTTTTTTTTTATTTTCTTAATGGGGAGACGCAATCTTCCCTAAGGGTGCTTACATAAAGAAACAGGTTTCCGGTACAGACAAATCTGTGCTGAACGGTACCGATCGGTGCAGGTATAATATTTCTGTTATCTTATGCGGTCACTTCAAAAGAAACAGGTTTAAACTTGTCGGCGCCGACTACCTGTATCGTGTCATACGGGATTAAGCGTTTGCCGGTGTAGGGTGTGTGTGTTTAGGAAAATGGATATGGATAACGAAGTTTTGATAACCTTGGTATTTGGTTTTTGAACATGCCAGTTACACCATCTCTTAATTAAACGATGTTCTATTTAATTTAATATGTAGTTAGATGTTTCTCGTCTTTTATAAATTGTTAATATTACCGACAATAATGATTCTTTTCTTACTAAATTTAAAATAAACACTTTCCAAAAGTAAAAAAAATCGTCGTTCGATGAACTGAAGGCCGTGGTTGTCAGCAATGACAGATTTACCTGTTTCTTTATGCAGATTAACCCTGCACTGATCGGTACCGTCCAGCACAGATTTGTCTGTACCGGAAACCTGTTTCTTTATGTAAGCACCCTAATAAGGGAGACACAGCTGCCAATCATCTGGTTTGATACCCTTCGTCGCCGGTTACGGCACCCACGGGACGGCGGTGTAAGAATATCCACCTTCAGATAAAGATGCCACAAATGCATTGTAACCGTTAAAGCACCTCACAGCCTTTCATTATTATAGATCTTTTACTGTTCAAAACGAAACACAAACGTTTGCAGAAACAAGTAAGATGTTGGTGACTATCAAAGAGGTTTCCTAGGCACATTAGAATTTCCTTCATCATTAAGAGAAAATGCGGGCCGAGAGACTTTTGAAAATTAGGTATTTGAAGAAACTACTTTACCTACTACTAACTGTAGATATGCAAATAGCGCTTGGCACCCGATAAGGACAACTGCAGATCCGACTGAATAGCCTAAGAAAAAGGCATAATTCGAGGTTTGCCTGCTTCAATATTGGACCAATTAAAAAAATATTTTATAAACTGAATAAGAAGGATATACACCGTGTCCCTATGTTTTTCTTAATTCAGTATTGGTTTTCAAATTTTGGGAATTTTGCAAGGGTTCTAACGATTATAAATATAATGTATCATCAAAAAGGAAAACATAGGTACATAGAAGAGGTTGATATTTATTTTACAGTAAAAACTCATTGCTATAAGGTCATAAACAAGAAAAAATAAAAAACCGGCCAAGTGCGAGTCGGACTCGCGCACCGAGGGTTCCGTACAAATCCGTAGGTATATAAGTTTATAATTATTAAAAATATATTTATTATATGATGTAACTAAATATTTATGCATTTCGGAATTTTTCCTTTATCTGTGCTATAAAACGTTGCTTCGTAGCAAATTTCAAGATTCTGAATTCACGGGAAGTACCCTGTAGGTTTTGATTCCCTTGCGAATGTCGAAAATTAGCGGCATAAACGGCTGTATCTTTTGTTTGCATTGGCTTAGAAGTTTGATTTTTTCACAGCTACTAGGGACAGTAGACTTGAGTATTTGATATGAATTTCAGCTTGATACCTCCACGCGTTCCTGAGAAAAAGGGTCTTGACATATAGACAGACAGACAGACAGACGGACAACATAGTGATCTTATAAGAGTTCCGGTTTTTTCCTTTTGAGGTACGGAACCCTAAAAACAGGCGAGAGCGTTTGTATGAAAGGAAAGACCACCCGCATTTCCTCTTAATAGTGGCAACTAGTACTATATTATATACGTGACTACAGACAAATTGATTTATTTGCAAATTTAAAGTATATCAAGCATTAAAATAAGTTAAAAATGCAACATACCTTAGCTATCTGTAGAAGCACTATGGAATGTTTTATGTTGTCTAGCATCACCTGAAAGAAAAACAATATTTAGAAGCGGTCGTAGCACAAGTAAAATATTTTTTAAATATAAAAAACACGGCTTTAGTGTACTCATTAACATCATATTGTATCGTCAACAGTAACTTATATTTTTTTGTCGTATGTTATTACCATTTCTCGACCGCCATATTTATTTTATGGCGACGTTATTTAGTTAATAATCAATACTGACAAATCCCAATTATATATATATATATATATATATATATATATATATATATATGTCATAATCCGACGACTAGTTTGGGAGTTTCCGGCAATAGAATTTGATTTACATAACAAGAATATATTAATATTTTCTTAAGACATGTATCATCATCATCATCATCATTACAGCCCTCAGCAGTGGCAATACGCCGGCCATACAGCTCGTAAAACCGACAACTGGTGAGATAGAACGCTTCTCGAGTGGCGACCTCGTACCCTCCCACTCATTAGATGCAGTGACTGATAGGAATTGCAGGAAGTCGATGGATGCAGGTGTCTCAGATCCGTGCTTTGTGGCATTCCTTGGAGGACGCCTATGTTCAGCAGTGGACTTGTGAAGGGCTGTAATGATGATAATGATGAGATCTACGTTGATGTGTCTACTAGATGCGTACGAAGTGCTATCACTTACATTGGAATGATCTAAAATAGCTTGACCCTTGATTTTTTCATGTGGATCTGCCAATTCCGACACGCGTGTGCTCATTTTCTGAAAACAAAAATATATTTAATATTAAATTCTTTATTCTCTGCTCTAAAAATAATTTTTATTTAGTAAGCACATCCACACCTGGGTATAATTATTATTACGAGTATAGTGGCAAATTCATTAAAACGGTTTGTTGTAATCGACGGAACGGTTATTTTTAATATACTAACAATTATCCCAAAATGTGTAGGACTAAAATATGTTTTAAATTTGATGTTTCTTATTATCATAAAATAAATAGAATTGTAGTGTCTCCTTGTAATGTTAAAATAACAGCTTTTCACTAAATGCATATGAAAGTATATACGGTGCTAGTAACAATTTTTAATAACAGTTTTTAAAATTTTTGTCTGTCTGTCTGTTTGTTCCGGCTAATCTCCGAAACGGCTGGACCGATTTTGACGGGACTTTCACTCGCAGATAGCTCATTTTATAAGGAGTAACTCAGGATACTTTTATTTTAGAAAAAATTAGGATTCCACGCAAAAAAATTAAAATCCATGAAATCGTAGTAAATTTCTCTTTAAGTGAGACAAATTTGCATGTCCATTAATGTCCCAGTTATCCAGGTTTCACTGTATTTTAATATGTATATATACCAGCTGACCAAGCAGACGTTGTTCTGCCCTTTTCGACGACCCTTCATATAAAAAAATAAAAATCCTTAAATTCCTAATAAAAAATAGTGAGTGTCACTTATCAGGATAAAAACTATCCTATCTCTTAAGTCGGGCCAAACTGCACAGAGTGTGCAAAATTTCATTGAAATCAGTTCAGTAGTTTAGGAGTTCATCGCGGACAAACAACGTGACACGTAATTTTTATATATACAGAAGATATATGGAAATTTACCACAACGTTCTGAATTCTGATAGCATCCGAATACGGGTGGCAGGGCATCTGCATTTTGATTCTCAATTGAGGAGAGATGTAGATGTCTATGGGCCACAGTTTCCACAGGTCGAATGTGTGCTCGTTTGTTATCCTTATTTACAAAAAATGGATGAATCGCAAAGGTGCAGTCGTCGATTACAATAGGAATTAAAACATAAAGCAGCGTGAAGCTCCACTCACCGAGACGAGTTCGATCATGATCTGTAAGTAGGCGTCTGCTTCAGCGACGCGGCGCTCGAGGTCGCAGTGGCGGTGGGCGGGCGCGGGCACGGAGCGCGACCAGCGCTCGCGGCGCCCGTGCCGCGCGATCGTCTCCTCCAGCGCGCGCACCCAGCGCTCGCGTTCCGACCCGTCGCGCGCCTGCACACGCACGACCTCACAATCTATAATCTACCTTACAAGTACGCTTTTAAGATTCATTTTTAGTTGTATTAATGCTAGAATACAACTTTGGAACGTTCTAAAATACGCCTTAGTAGTAATAAGATCAGTTCGAGTTTATAGCCTTTTCATAACATTCTCACAGCGCCCACCCAGCGCCAGCGCTCGCGTACCGACCCGTTATGCGCCTGCACACGCACGCGGTTACACAAAGTTACTTTAAGCGTATGAGCTTAGGATTCATTTTTAAAATAAACCTTAACTAAGCAGTAACAAGATCATGTCGAGTTTATAAGCCTTTTCATAAGTCATAAATAACATGCTCTGAAAAGTACCTTACGCATGGCTATTAGGATTTATTTTCAGTTGTGGTACTGTCGGACAAGAAGCTTTTGTCGTAATAAATTATACTTTAGTTGTACAGTAATAAGATCAGTTTGAGTATCGACTTTATTTTATCATTACAATCTGTCGCGGCGTCCTTGGCGCGCGATCGTTTCCTCCAAGCGCGCACCCAGCGCTTGCGTTGCGCCCTGTTGCACTCCTTCACGCGCATTGATCACACTAAAATATTCCTTACATTACCGCCTTTCATCAAGATTTATTTTCAGTTACCTTACTGCTATAACTTTGGAATCATAGAGCAACACGGGCCATCGGCGAATCGGACGAGTTACCATACGCAGGCGTTCCCCTCTATCAAAGTATAAGTCCATGCAGTCCTATGCTTACAACAAAACTATTTGCAGCTGCACTGCTCACTACCTCAGTAGACTAAATCTAGCTGCGCGGCTGAATCGACATTCAATAATTCGATCTAATTGGATCCAATCAGACACAATAATTAGACTAGTTTGAGTTTATCGCCTTTGTATTACCATAACATGCTCTCCGTGCAAGATTTTACTAGGCGGTACCCTTTTCTTATTAGAGTCTGGGTAGGTACCACCTCATACCTATAAAGTTACAGCCTATATACATCCCACTGCTGGGCACAGGCCTCCCCTCACTTCTGAGAGGGTTTTAGGGCAAGGAAATGTCCGCCGCGCTGCCCCAATGCGTGTTGGTGAATTTTTCTATCTTATTTCTCAGACATGCAGGTTTCCTCACGATGTTTTCCTTCACCGCCGAGCACGCAGGAAATCAGCACTTAAAATTGCAATTAACAATTTCATTGGTGCCCGCGGGGATCGATCCCGGGTTGCTCGCATACTCTGAAATTTACAGCGAGCGCTAGCCATCTCAGCTACCACGGCTCTTTCCTATATCTGCCACCAAATAGCAGCGCTCGCACTATTGTGTACTGGTGTCGAGGGAGCCAGTATTACTACAGCTAATATAATTACAGATTATGAGCGTGGTAGCAGTGCATTCCATCTAAGTCCTCAGAAAAGCGCCGCTTTCAAATAAAATCAAATAAATCATCAAAATCGGTTCAACTAGAAAAAAGTTTTGAGGCACACAAAAAAAAATACAGTCGAATTAAGTTGTACACAGACTTGTAAATATTATTTTTGGGTTATTAAGAATTTTCTTTATGCAGCTATATTAGTAGTATAGTTGTAGCACGAATGGGTCGGCTCCACCGGGAAGGACGACGCTCTCACAGAATACCAGCGTAAAATAGCAGTTTTACGCTGCTGTGTTTCGTATGGTGAGTGTAGCGAACCGGAGACCCTTTTTACTGGAAATGACGCATTCCATCTTAGTCCTCACGGGTGACGACGAATCTGCATTTTGATATGTAATAGAGGATAGATGTAGATGTCTATGGGCCGCAGCAACCATTTACCATCAGGTGGACTGTGTGCTCGTTTGTAACCCTTATCTTATAAAAAAATGTTTTAGGAAGTATTTTTGTTCGAAATTATTTTTATTAACGTATTAATGAAAAAATAATGATTATTATCTATATAATACAAACAGATTTATTAATACATATCTATTTAAAAAATTTAATTAATAGGATTTTCAACATTACTTTCAATGAATATAATATGTATAACTGAGAGGGACGGTCAAGCTAATTCAGTGCATTTTCCCCGTCCCAAAAGTATCCAACGTGCCTAAAGAAGTTTCCATTTCAAAAAAGTGGCAAGAGGTTAAGCAATAAAATTTCGGTATCTATCGATGCAAAGAAACCAGAATACGGTAGCTATGTTAATAATTTACGCGTAGAACGAAACATAAAAGGGACCACCCAATGAACTTGAAACCCTAGAGAAACCGAAAATTAATCTTGTTTGACTAAATCAATAAAGGTATAAGTCAAAGTGGCGCGCAAGTCAAGTCAATACTCGGAAAGATAGACAGATTATAATTATAATCTATACAAATAAATAAAATTGAAGTGTCTGTTTGTATTGTTAAAATAACAGCTTTTTACTAAATGCATATGAATGTTTATACGGTACTTATAACAAAAACACAATTTTTAAAATTTTTGTCTGTCTGTCTGTCGGTCTGTCTGTCTGTCTGTTTGTTCCCGCTAATCCCCGAAACGGCTGGACCGATTTCGACGGAGCTTTCACTGGCAGATAGCTGATGTTCTAAGGAGTAATTTAGGCTACTTAGATTTGAGAAAAATAATTAGGGTTCTGAGCCATACAATTAAAACCCTAAATTACACGCGAGCGAAGTCGCGGGGAACAGCTAGTATAAAATAAAATAGTAGCTATTATTGTCAGCCATGTGTAAGTATAATAAAACCAGTAACTCTTTTGTAGTAATCTAACTAATATTAAAACATACTTTATACTATACATACTTTTATGCAAATTATATGTATTTTTAATGCACGCATTAATATCAAGTGATACATTTGCATCAAAATATTTTTCGGTCGCAAGTTTTGACAATCGTGTTTGTATCTTTATTTACGAGATCATAACTTAGTGTTGTTACCCGTATAATTATGATAAATCGATTAAAATATTAGGACCGAAATACAACAACTAAGTAGGTAGATACTCGAGGAGTCACTGGAAGGCATAAAAACGGATATAATGTACACACATGTAACATTTCTAGTTTATTTCCTCACTATATAAAATGGTAGTCGTGTTTTGTAAAATTGAAGTGTCGTTTGTAATGTCAAAATAACAGCTTTTTTTACTAAATGCATATGAAAGTATACGGTACTTGTAACAAACAAAAAAAATTAAAATTTAATCTGTTTGTCTCTCTGTTTGCTATCTCCGATACTACTGGACCGATTTTGACCGGACTTTACTGGCATATGATGTTATAAGGAATAACTTAGGCTACTTTTATTTAAAAAAAAACCATGATAACCAATCGTAATAAATTTCACGCGGGCGAAGTCGCGGAGAACAGCTAGTATGAATAAAACGGATAAATAGATCAGATTAGAAGGTTAGGATTAGGATATTATCTCGTTTAATTTTAACTTCTGACGTTTCGGGCACTACAGCACCCATGGTCTTAGGGCGGTTGGTAAATCCATAACAAGGTACACAGAACTGAAATTAACTTAGGTGATCAACACGATTTTATTAGCTTTGCGTATATCTACTATATGTAACGAAATCCTTTAATATAATTTTCACCAACTTGTAGAATGCTGATTATTTTTTTTTATAGAGGCGGCAAACGAGCATGCGGCTCACCTGATGGTAAGTGACTACCGCGGCCCATGAACAACTGCAACACCAGGGGAACCAAGGGAATTGCAGATGCGTTGCCGGCCTTTTAATAAGTAGTAGGCTCTTTTCTTGAATGTCCCTAAGTCGTATCGGTCCGGAAAAATCGAGCTGCAGAGTTGCATCCATGCTGCAGCGACATTATGGTTGTAACACCAATGGGTCGGCTCACCGGGGTAGGACCACACTCACAGAATACCAGCTTAAAATAGCAGCTCAATGCTGTTGTGTTTCGTATGGTGAGTGCAGAGAACCGGAGACCGTTTTCACTGGAAACAAGGCATTTCATCATAATTCTCAGGGCTGGCAAAGCATCTGAATTTTGATTCTTAATCTAATAAAAAAGAGGCTAAATGTAGTCTATGGGTCACAGAATCCACTTACCATCAGGTGGACGGTGTGCTGTATAAATGTTTTTTGTAGAATAAGGGTGTTGTCACAAAAAAAACATTTATACATCAGTTAGCAAGTTTATTCTAAGCGTGTATGTATGTATTATCTATGTACATTAGCACTATTCTCTAACTCGTAATTATTACAAACTCTGTAACTCGTGACTGGAGAAAATCACAAGAATCCAACGGAAAACTAGCGCAGCCTTCGTTTTATGTATTATGCTGACTTGGAGACCTATTTGATACCACATTATTATTATTTTTTGTTATATTATTAATTAATTATGCATGTATGAACATACTGCTTCTATTTTGTTAACGCGTAAGCAGTTTAACACTGATACGAGCATATTTTTGCCCCTTGCCTTTGTATATATTTTGTTTTAAATGTGTGTATCAAATAAATAGGTCTTTTTTTCTTACTTCATTTTTTTAATACAATTATGTGTGACAAACGAGCTCACAGTCCACCTGATAGTAAGTAAATGTTGCGGTACACAGATCTCCATAATTATATCCTCGATTAAGAATCACAATGCTGATGCGTTGTCTCCATTGAGGAATAAGTTAGAATGCCTCGTTATCCGTAAAAGAGGGTCACTTTCTCGTCCCTCACCATATGAAATACACCAGCATTATAGTGCTATTCTACTCTAGTATATTGGGCGGGCGAAGTCCTTCCGCAGCCGAGCCGACCCATTCGTGCCACGTGTTATAAGTTATCTGAACTAGTTCTTTCGATTTTTCTACTTCTGTAGAGTTGTCTATTTCTGCTTCTATAGTCATTCATTAATTATAAATATCTCTGATTAGAAATGAGAACTAGCTGCATTACAAGAGACTTAGATTGCTACCTACATTGTATTTTAGTTATTTTTAGATGGAATGGAGGTTAGGTTACGCTCTTTCTTCGCACGTTTGCTGAATAATGAACGCCGAACGCGCCCTTTCCGACGTGCCAATTTTTCGAAGCGGAGATCCGAGAGAAAGGCATCGCTTTGAGGTGATTCACCGTACAACATCAGTTTTGTCACCAGACTAGTTCCTGCGCGCGGCCCATCGTTCACGTTCCAACATTTCACATGTGAAGCCACAACGCTGTTCCCACGTTAGTCATAGATAAGTGTTAATGTTTGCATTCGCGTATGAAAGTTATTTAAAGTTTAGTATGAAATACGAATAAGGTGAAAATAGTCGAAGGTAAATAAATTGATTATGTAAACTTTTAGTTATATAAAAATATTTGGATCCGCTGATACCTTTATAGAAACAAGTAGTGACGGGAAGACATGGATGATCATAACACATCCAGAGCTCGAACACTGACAAATTGTGTTTTTTTTCGACTAGGATCCGAACGGCGCGGGTGTTTAAATAATTAATTATAGTGATAATTTAAAATAAATAAATAACTTTTCTTTTAACCCAATATCAAACGTGAGGGCCAGCTAACTAAACTAAATAAACAGCTTGCTAATGTATTATACTCTAGTTATATTAAAATAAATGAAATGAAAGTAGTACTGTTAACTTGTAAGTTAGGTAAAAGTTTTGAATTTTGTTTTTAACCTCATTTATTGGATTGCAATCTCAGATTATTTTAGTACGGGTAGAAAGACACACCGGTTTCAGATCTAATCAAAGAAGACGAATGGGAGAGGATAAAAGGGTGGACAGGTTACAAGGAGAAGTTTTTTTTTTTCGTGGTAGAGCTATATTATGGTTCGACTTGACCGGAGAAAAATCACGCTCTCACAGCATACCAGTGTATAATAGCAGCTTTATGCTGCTGTTTTTGGTATAATGAGGTTAGAGAAACGGAGACTATTTTTATTGGAAATGATGCATTCCAACTTAATTGAATTTTTTTTATAGGAGAGGGAGCAAACGAGCATATGGCTCACCTGATGGTAAGTGACTACCACCGCCCATGAACAACTGCATCACCAAGGGAATTGCAGGTGCGTTGCCGGCCTTTTAAAAAGGAGTAACCTCTTTTCTTGAATGTCCTTATTGTATCGGTCCGGGAAAATCGCCGGTTGTAAACTATTCCACGGAAAGGTCGTACGAGGAAAATAACTCCTAGTAAAACGTACAGTGGTGGACCGCCAAGCATCCAGATGGTGTGGTTGGTATCGGGAGTTTTGCCGCGATGTGCGTTCATAAAATTTGGTGGCTAGGATTAATCCGAACAATTCCTCAAAGCACTCCCCGTGTTTGATGCGAAAGAAAATGCAAAGGGATGCAACATCTCTTCGCAGTGCCAGTGAATTGGGCCGATTGGAGAGGACTCGGTCGTCGACGAATCGAGCCGCTCTGCCTTGAATGCGGTCAAGTGAGAGGAGGTAGCACTGGGGAGTCCGGGCCCAAAGATGGGAACTGTATTCCATGTGAGGCCAAACCTGCGCCTTGTAAAGTTGAAGGCAGTGTGCCGGCATGAAATACTGTCCCGCTCTGCTGAGCATGCCAAGTTTTTTAGTGGACGATTTGGCCTTCTCTTCCAAGTGACCACGAAACTGCACGTCACTCAATATGTCGACGCCGAGGATTCTGATACTGGCTGAGGCAACAAGGGGAGTGCCTTGAAACTGAGGAGATACGACGAAGGGGTTCCTTTTAGCGATAAACACACAAACTCGTGTCTTCTGGGAATTAAACTGCACTAGATTTAGTTGCCCCCAATCTGAGACTGCGTTCAGCAAAGACTTGACTTCAGACGCAAGTTTGTTCCCGTAGTCGCCAACGTTTTCTCCAGAAATATTGGTACAGCCCGTGTATAGAGCATCACCAGTACTGTCATCCGCATAGGAATGAATGTTACCAGTTTCGCAACATATCATTAATATGCAGAAAAAACAGCGATGATAATAACACACAGCCTCAAGGAACACCAGTATTAATAGGCTTGTAATCGGAGCATGCACCATCTACTACGACCTTAATGCTCAGGTCTACAAAAAAGCTGGTGATCCAATTGCACAATTTCTCGGGAAGCCCATAGAAAGGTAGCTTCGAAAGAAGTACTTTGTGCCAAACCCTATCGAAGGCCTTCGCTATGTCCAAACTACGGACAATGCCTCACCCTTGGACTCTACTACCTCCACCCATCAATTATTCAGTTAGACCAGAACATCACCAGCTAATCGAACCGTACAGGTGGTCACTAGTCGGCTGGTGATCCTCAACGTACCGCATGAGCTGGCAGTTTATAAGGATTCCATTATTGAATAAAACTACTTTTAAGGATCTTATAGCGTTTAATTATCAGCACCCATGGTCACGGGGGACTGAGGTGGTTGACGTCCCGATGTTAGAGTTAACCCGGAGTACCTTCAGCTTTTTTAATTATTAATTTTGGTCCAATCTACGATGCTTGGATTTAGTTTTAATTTTATTAATTACAGGATCCCAAGCAGGTGGTAGTACCCAGCCTCCCTCTCTATTGAAATTAGGATGTTATTTAATTTCAATAGCCTCACGTATCATCCTTAGCAGGAATACGTTGACGTATACGACGTATACGCAAACACCAGTAAATAATTAAATACACAAATATTTATTTCGAGCGGGATTCGAATCCTCGGCCCTCAGCGCTGCACCTATTTAAACGTAATAGGTACGTGGTAATTGTAAACAGTATGATGAGGATACATAAAGGAAAGCAGTATTCCAAATAACGTCATTGTTTATTACCATTAGCTCAACTCGACGTTGACGCCGCAAAAGGGGCGAACCTTAATTTTTCTAAAAATTACAGGAGAGCAAGAAAACATTTATTACTAGCTTTTTTTCATCAGAAAATTAATCTTATTTGTAGTTTTCCATTAAGTCTAATATATATATAAATATAATAAAATTTTCTGATGGCAAAAAGCTAGTAATCGGGGAATAATAAATGTTTTCTTGCTCTCCTGTAAGTTTTTGAAAAATTGAGGTTCGCCCCTTTGCGACGTCAACGTCGAATTACCTGAGATTAAAACTTTGGCTAAAATATACTCGATTTCGAAACGTGTGCCACAAAATCTTCACACACACACTCTGTCACACTGGATTTAAAAAGAAAGAATTAACCATTTATTTCGTGGCCATTATTCTTATCTAAAATATGTAAAAATTAATTATATAATACGAAATTGTAGGACTTAGGATGCTCCACTAATTTTCAGTGTAGCATTACGTCCGTACTTATTTTCGTTCCAGTGAATAACCAACATAAATCTTTAAAAAAAAACAGCAGCTCATCCCTTTCATAGAATTTATATAGAATTTTTAATAAAAATAAAGTCGATAGTTGGTGAAACGTACACACCTGGAAGTGGAAGGTCTTGTGGTCGACAGTGATGGTGAACGTGGAGTCGTCCTCATCATCGATGCCAATTACGGCCGCCCTAAGCCGCACACAGCCGCGTCTCACGCCCCGCGTCATTTTTTCTTTTGACTGAAAAGAGAACACAAACAAATAGGTTTTTAAGTCTATGGGTGGCACCATATAAATTTAAAGAAAAAGTTCCACCTCTAAGGGTGGAAACATAGAGTATGAAGTTTTTATTTAATTATTTAGACGATATGGAGATCGTAATAATCCTTTGTCGATTCTATCAGGTTAAAAATAAAAACATAACGTTATAAAAAGTAAAAGCTGCAAAGGGCTAAAAAGGTTAAAATAATTTCACATTTATTTTAACCTTTTTAGGGCTAGGGCTTTAGTTCTTCTGTTCACTAGGTCTCAGCACCAACACCAAATTGTGAAATTGTTTTACCGTTATCGTTAGAGCCTATCAAAGTACACTGCTGAACATAGGCCTCCACCATAGATTGGAAAGCGAGTTGGCAACCGCAGGCTTTTGTTTCAAGGGATGGTATGGGGTAGCGGATATTCTTATACTCCCACTGCACAGGAAATTATTTTTATCTTTTAAATTATTTTAAGTCGGCTTTTACTTTTTATTAAGTTGTTTCTTGACGTTAAAATGCGATGACGTTAAGAAAGCGTTTATTCTACTACTAATCAAGAAAGAGGTGTCTAAAAACCTGAAAACATACAAAATGATATTGATGGATGCTCTTTTGAAACTGCACACGTACAGAATACGCGCTACATTTATTTTTTATTTCTTAGCTCACTCATATGAAACAGCAGCATTATGCTGCTGTTTCATATGAGTGACTAGAAATAGAGACACCTTTTTTTACATCTATTCTCATTTGCTAATAAAATGCAGATGCGTTGTCAGCCGTGAGGACTAAAATGGAATGCATATTTTCCAGTAAAAAGGGTCTCCGGTTCTCTACACTCACCAAAAGAAACACAGTAGCGTTAAACTGCTATTTTACGCTGGTATTCTTTGAGTATACTTTTTACTGTTAACGTAACAATGCATTCCATCTTAGTAGACATGTGTCGTATCAAAGTATTGATGATTGCAATGACATCTTTTGAACGTTCCGAATCAAACGATGGATAGGACCAGATAGTACCTACGACCAAAGAGTATAGTAATGTCCGCCGAGTACTGAAACTCGAAATATCGACCCGAATGACCCGGTTTGTAAGACGAAACAATGCCTGAATGATCGAGTGACTAGAAATGAATGAATGACCACACGTCTACATCTTAGTCCTCAAGGTGACAAAGACAATGCGTTCTGCATTATGATTATTAATCGACGATAGATGTTAGTGAATACGCCAAAGCATCCAATGAGGTGAACTATGTATTCGTCTGTTACTCTAAATAAACTGCTAGTGAGGAATACAAATATTCAATTCATAATTCAACACTTGTTCCGGTAGATGGCGGTATGACCATCGCAGACGTAGAATACCCAGACCGGCTACAGTCAGCAGTGTCAAAGGTGCTTACATCTGGTACTGCTGCGATTGCCAATCCGCCTGCCAAGCGTGGCAATTAAAAAAAAACAGATATAAACGAGAAAGGCCTGTGGCCAGTAGTGAAGTCTTACGTGATGATAAAGAAGAAGATTTAACTATTAACATGTGTATATTATCGATACATTTACTTCGTATAGTACCCAACATGGATGTATTCATTTTTATCGCACGATTAAAGCTGAGATGTTTTATTCATAATGAAGCCATTTTGTAAAAAAAGTAGTTTCAGTTTCAGTTCCACTGTTAGGCACAGGCCTACTCTAATTTATGAAAAAGTTTTAGTGCAAGGAATGTCCGCTGCGCTCATTGATTTATATCATGTATAACTCAATGGCTGCGCTGCCACCGAGCACATCGGCACATGTCTGAAATATTTTTTATAATTTCTCAGACGTAGGTTTTTAAAAATAAAATAAGGGTGACAACCGAGCACACTGTCAATCTGATGGTAAGTGACTGCTGTGAACTATAATAGACATCAATATTTACCCTCAAATAAAAATCAAAACGCAGATACAAAGATGGAATGCCTCGATTTCAGTAAAACGGGCCTCCGGTTTTCTATACTCACCATACGAAACACAGCAGGTATTCCGTGAGAGCGTGGAGCTACCCCGGTGCAGCCGACCCATTATAATCATAACATCCTTATAAGTGGTAAACCAGCGCTTAAATTTAACAAGTCCATTGGTGCCAAAGGGTATTAAACCCGGGTTTCTTTTTTATAAAATAAGGATGACAAACGAGCACACACTCCACCTGATGGTAAGTGGATGCTGTGACCCATAGACATCTACATTTACCCTCAAGAATCAAAACGCAGATACGATGTCACTGCTGAGGACTGAGATGGAATGCCTCGGTTTCAATAAAAAGGGTCTCCGGTTTTCTCATTCATCCTACGAAACACAGCAGCATTAAGCCGCTATTTTACGCTGGTATTCCGTGAGAGTGTGGTCTCGACCGGGGTAGGACCACCCTACCCCGGTCGAGACGACCCATTCGCGCTATAATCATAACATCCTTATAAGTGGCACTTAAAATAAACAAGTCCATTGGTGCCAAGGGTATTAAACCCGGGTTGCTCGCGTACTGTGATATTTACAGCGGGCGTTAGTGATATCGTAATATTTCGTCGATATCAATTTAAAATTTGTTTTATATATATATATATATTTATATATATATGTATACATACACCAACTACGAGTAGCATATCAAATGCGGTGAGAATAGGAAACGTTTACTTGGAATTTCAAATTTCCAATTAAATTTTCCAATCTTAGAAAGGCCGAAGTACAGCAAGGATGACGCGGAATAAGATAGATGGTAGCACTTCGTAGGAGCTTCTGCCTAGAAGGGCGTCGGTGTAGGTACCAACCTCTCACTTATTTCTGCCACCAAATAGCAGTGTTTTTTGAAGGGTGTAAGAGAGTGAATATAATTTCAGGCTGTGAAGCATTCCATCTTGGTTCGCACGAGTCACAACGCATCAGCGGGGCTAACATGAGCGGGAGACAATTTTATCCCCGGGGAAAAGAGAACATGTTTATCGCTTAATTTTATCCACCCTTCGAGCATATAATATCCACCGTAGATAAAATGGGAGATAGACTTAGATATATTTTTTGTATGAATATAAACTTAAACCCCACGTCCAATGAACTAGGATATTGTACTTTTCAAATGTCAAAAAAGCGTATTTTTTATCTTTAATTTGGCCCCATGCTACGGACGGGGGATATATGTCTACTCGTTATGTCAAACGGAGATATACTTCTCCCCGTTGCCGTGCTTTGGCATAAGGACAAGATAATTTTATCTCTTGTCCGTGAATATAATCGAGGGATATTTTTTTGCCCCCAGCCGATGCTAGTCGTGCTGTAGTCTTCCTGGTTTGAGTTGGCTGAAGGTGTCCATGGACTGCAGCAGCCGCTTACCATCACCTGGACTGTAAGGTAGTTTGTCACTTCAGTTTTATAAAATAAAATAAATAATTAAAAAAAAACAATTTAAAAACAAATTAAAAGCAATGCTCTAAAAAGACCGCAACAATATTGAGAATAGAAAACAAAATTAAAATAAACTATAAACAAAGTAAACTCTAAACAGTCTATATTATGAGCTGAAAGTCTAAGTTAAATACGCGCATTAAGTTTAGTAGCAAGCGGAACCCATTAATTATCTTTCGGTTTATAATTTTCATTTGCGTCCCGCCTTTCTTTGCAGTCGGGTAAAAAAGAATTTTACAAAACTTATATTTTGAAAAAAATATTTACATGACATAGACAATGTGCCAAATGCTATGGTAACTCAGTAGGTGTAAGCATATTCATGGCCCACTGCTTCGGTTGTCTGTCGAGTATCATGCCGCAACGCACGCGTGTATGATAATTATTTGCTTTCTAACGTCTGACCCCTTGAACCTGAATTAAATGTATAATTAACATATGTCTAATGGTTTCCTGTATTTTTGTATAAATGTAATTAAGGAGTATTTGCAAAATAAAAAAAGAGGATTTTAATGTGAAAATATAAATAAATATTTACATAAATGAATATTTCACAGGATATCTATGAGATGTAGTTAATGCATTTTCATCTAATATCTAAAAGAAAAATAATAATATAGAAGCTGGCATAAAAAGATGCTCATTAGAAAGAAAAAAATATGTTTTCAATTTGGCCCAAGGGATATAATATGTAGAAGGTTCGTTCGGTGCTTAGAGCTACGTTGCATGCTAATAATGCCTGATTCCTACCATTCAAGAATTGTTTCGTTCTGTATGAAAAAAGTAAAATGTGTCAAATGTCATGTCCATATTTTGTGTGGAAGTGTATGTGTAGGTATTATATAAATATATAATATATTTATACTTGGTAGATCCATGCTGCATGGTTATGGTTGTAACACCAATGGGTCGGCTCACCGAGGTAGGACCACACTTTCACAGAATACCAGCTTAAAATAGCAGCTCAATGCTTGTATTTCGTATGGTGAGTGCAGAGAACCGGAGACCGTTTTTACTGGAAACGAGGCATTTCATCATAGTTCTCAGGGCTGGCAACGCATCTGAATTTTGATTCTTAATCGAGGCTAAATGTAGATGTCTATGGGTCACAGCATCCACTTACCATCAGGTGGACGGTGTGCTGTATAAATGCTTTTTTGTAGAATAAGGGTGACAAAACCCTTATTCTACAAAAAAAAAACCATTTATACATCAGTTAGCAAGTTAATTCTAAGCGTGTATGTATGTATTATCTATGTACATTAACACTATTCTCTAACTCGTAATTATTACAAACTCTGTAACGCGTGATTGGAGGAAATCACAAGAATCCAACGGAAAACTAGCGCAGCCTTCATTTTATGTATTATGCTGACTTGGAGACCTATTTGATACCACATTATTATTATTTTTTGTTCTATTATTAATTAATAATGCATGTAGGAACATACTGCTTCTATTCGTGCTATTAGTGTATAGTGCTATTCTTCTCCAGTATATTGGGCGGGCGAAGTCCTTCCGCAGCCGAGCCGA